TCAAATAAAATGGCCGATCTAAAAATATTTTTCAGTAAAATCTTACCGGACTATTGATAACTCTTTAAAACCTAAAATAATTAAAATAAAACAACTTTAAATCAAGTCCAGCTGTATTTACAAAGCATTTTGCATTGTCACAGGAACCAAGTGCTGTCCAGAATGCATGAGATAATTAAAATGAACTGATGCAAAGACACATGGAACACTGAACCCCAAAACACGTAAAAACAAAACACATAACCGCTCATATAATAAGAACTAGCCTAACAAAGTGAAATAAAAATTTCACATGGTTTTAAAAGCTAAGGCAAAGTGATGAGGTTTAAGAAGTTAACCCTTGTTATGGGAACACTAAGGAGTAACTGTTCAGCTGACCTGAGAAAGTGCTATAAAGGTATAGCCACTCCGACAGGTATGAAGGAACAAGTCCATGGAGGCTCTTAAAGCAGTTCTAAAGAACTTTCAGTATTGGTGTGTTTGGCTCCCCCAGTGGCCAAAAGCTGTATTGTTTTGTCTGAAGTAAGACAGCATTTCCCATTAGAACCAACACATAGCATGGTAAAATCCTTATTTCCCGAATGCCTGCAGTTGGATTGAACTAAATTTCTGTTTCCAGTGGCTGTATGAAAAATAAATAGCGATGAGGTAATTAATCTAAATGTGGTGAAACAATATCATAAGACGATGTTAAAAATAAAAAACGTTTAACTTTGATTTTGAACCATATTTCTGCACTGCCATGAACCCCTCTCGTCCCTCAGCAACTGATGTGCCTTGAAACTGACAAATATAACTTTATGTTTGATGAGTTCAGAGTAAACGTATAGATCCCAGCAGGTAGTCGAATTGCCTGAATGTCAACCCTGAATAATTTGAAAAAATATACAAAAAACATACATATATACCCTCAGGAAAACGTAATCGCATCACAGTCTGTCTTTATCATGATGGGGAAAGTGACCCATGCCGGTCAGCACGTTTGTAGTCATTTTGTGTGGCAGGGTTACTGCCACCCTCTGTTGGTCAAAGTTATATGACGCCCTGATGCCATGCCAGAGGTGTCATTCAACTAGTAAGTGGATTTATATTCACAAAAGTTATGAAAATATTTTACGAAGGTTGAAAAGTTACTTAATGTTGGACTAAAACTAAATAAAAAATTATAAAAGTATATTAGGTTAATATAAAAAAGCGATTTCCTTTAAATAGTACAGACATTAAAAAAACTCCTTAAAAACTACATTCGTAACTATGATACAAAAATGGGTTTCAGATTTGAACACAACCTCTGTCTAAATCTTATTTTAAAGTAGCCAAAGGAAGTCCTGACCGCACAATCATCTCATACCACAAGGCGCAGGCATGTGTTTTTAACTACAAAGCTGCTTAAAGGTTAAAGAAAAGAAGAATCAATGTAAACAGGCAAATATCTAAGAACTTCATTTGGGCTGATGAAATAAAAACATTTTATTCCTTAAAGAAAAAAAAGATTTTGGAGTCAGAACCTAAATAAAGGACTCAGAGATATGTTAAATCCAGGGAAAAATAGCCACACCTGGAGGAGAAACCAACATGCACTAGTTTAGTGAGGATGTGTTCCTCTAACTTTGAGAGCCTCTTAAAATGAGGGAAAGCAGAAAAAACCGATAAAGAATGTGAATCCACGGCTTTCTTTCTGTGTAGCATCACCACTGCTTTACAATCCACAAGTAGCCAGTACTCACCACGATTTTCCATTACAGAGAATGAGGCCTGTCAATCACCGATTCCTAAAAAACAAAGGGTTGAGAATCATCAACAGCTCAAGACTTCCTGAGAATTACATTTCTAATGACTCATTACACATTAAAGTATCTCTACATTCAATAACTACCCTAACCCTAATGAACTTCATACATGAAAATAACTATAAAGAGCTACCTTAAATCTCACTTCAAGTAATTTTAGTATAATTATTATTTTTTTGTGCGTTGAAGCAAAAGAAACATACGCTGGGCAATCTCATGGGTGGTTTAGGGGTGGCAAAGATCCTAAGAAGAAGACTCGATGCATTTTTTCCTCATTTTTCCCACATCATAATGATGGCAGCTCCACTCTCCCTAACTCATCTGAAAGGCAAAAAAAGAAACCAAAGTTAGCCATTATATATATAGATATATATATATATATATATATATATATATATATATATATATATATATATATATATATATATATATATATATATATATATATATATATATAGAGGGTTTGGATCTAAAGATAATTTTTTAAATATAAATTCAAAGAAACTTAGACTGGTCCCTTCTAAATACCTCTAAAACTCACAAAAAAAACCCAACAAGTATATAATTAAATAAATAAAACAAATAAGCTTGCTGGATATAAAGAACAAATCAATAACAGGAGATATTCTTCTAAATAAAACAGCTCATGTAGATATTCTATCTGCAAAGAAAACTGTAACTCATCTCTGCAGTTGACTCACTCCTATTTGCTGTTTACTCTGAAATAATAAGGGTATAATAGAAATTTTAGCTGGCCAGAAAGATTGTCACAGCCAGCAGCCTATGCCCACATAATTCTATGAAATATCACAGAAACTGTTGGGATGAAAAAACAGTTTGAACATTCGGTCAAACTGGTTTAAATTCTGACATTTACTGCTTTTTTATTTTTTTTATATTTGCTAAATTACAAATGAATAGATTGAATTAACATTCAATAAAGTTATAAGTCATAATCTGAACCAATATTTATGGTTTCTGTTACAAGTTTGAGTTTCGGTCTGTGTTACAGAAGAAGAGGGGCCACCAGAACTCTAAGTTATTCAGCAATTATTAGCCCCATTTACACTACACTTTTCAAACTGTGCCCGATTGGTCTGAGCACGGTAACCGAGATAACTGTTGAGTGTAAATGGCATGCACAACTGAACCAGACTGCCAGAAACAACCAAAACCATGCTAAACTGGCTAAACTAGATCGTCACTAGGGCCCAGCACAGTTCAGGTCTGGCTCAGTTCTCAGATAACAAGTGCATGAGCAGACCGCATCATCTCCATACAGTCAGCCTCAGTAACCATGAAATTTCAGACATTTATAAAAATACAAGCTTCATACCCTGCCACAAGATTACCATTGATGATGACCACTGCTTAGCAGTGTGATGAACCTCAATGTCTGTCGTTGTGTCCTGCATCTGTAAGCCCTGATTAGACTATCGTTTGTCGTATCCACTTCCCAAAAGCCGACAAAAGCCATCCACCAAAGGCTGCCTTCTTCGCCTGACTCTCCGCAAACTTCCAGAATGTTATGGCTGTCGCCATGTTGATTTGCTTGTTTCCCTCTAAAGAGCAGTAGTATCATAAATCGTCAACAGGAGGCGAGGAACTTTGATAGTATGATGTGTAAATTGTCGTACAGCACCAAGCTCGGCACGGATCGGTTTTCGGAGGGTGGTGTAAATGAGGTTTCTTTATTTTTTGAAGCGTCAAATTCCAATTACTGTACCTCAAACAATGACAGTTAAAACTATGAAAACCCACATTGATGGACAGTGGATCTATAAAGGACATATAGAGCCTTAAATGGCCAAGCTCCATCTGATATCAGAGATCTGATTGTTCCTTATGTTCCTAACAGGGCACTTCGCTCTCAATCTGCAGGTTTACTAGTGGTTCCTAGAATTTCTAATAGTAGAATGGGAGGCAGATCTTTTAGTTATCAGGCTCCTCTCCTGTGGAACCAACTACCAGTTTTCGTCCATGGGGCAGACACCTTGTCTACTTTTAAGGGTAGGCTTAAAGCTTTCCTTTTTGATACAGCTTATAGTTAGAGTGGCTCAGGTTATCCTGAGCATCTCTATAGTTATGCTGCTATGGGCTTAGACTTCTGGAGGACACAGGGACCCCTATTTCATCCTTTTGCTTCATTATATTTCTATTCTCCCACTCTCTGCTTCTTTCTGTATGTCTGCTTCTGTTTCCTTGAACCTCAGTCGGCCTCGGCAGATGGCCGCTCACACTGAGCCTGGTTCTGCTACAGGTTTCTTGAGTTTTTCCTCTCCACTGTCACTACAAGCATGCTTAATTTGAGGTATTGCCTTCGAGTCATGTTGTGAATTTATTTGTTGAGGACTTATTATTTCATAACCTTTGAATGATAAGTTAATGAGTTAAAAATATAAGTTAACGTTAATGTTGATAACACAGTTCATGTTTGAAACCGTGGTTAAATTTGGGACTGCATTTATTTGTAGTTGTATTGAAGTGGACTCTATTACCCAGGATGCTCTAGGAGCAAAAAGAAAAAAAAAGAGTGTTGTTGAGCCGAGCTGACTGGCGCACGTTGTATGTTACTTTTTTCCTTCACCGTTCTTCACTAAAGTTAAACCAAATGAAACTGACCGTCTCGCTTCGTCATTTTTGGTTGTAAGTCACAAAATTTTTTGGTGCCGAAAACCCGGAAATATTAAGGAGATAATGGCTGACGAAGCTAGAAGCACCGAAGAGCAACCGAACGCTGAGGAACTACTGGTTGAAAGAGCGAAACGGAAGCGGCGGACAATACGGAGTTCCACAACGAAGGTGCTGAACCAGATTGACGGTGAAGTATCAAAGGAAGACCCGGACATTAACCGTGTGCGAGAGATGTTAGCCGTGTTGTCGGCGAAAGAGGACAGTTTGCGCGAGCTGGACCGCATAGCGGAGGAATACACGCCGCTGGACGCCATGGATGCGGAGATTGAACTCGCAGAGGAATACAGAGACCGTATCATCGAGATGAAGGCGCGGGCTCACCAAGTAATCCGTGCACAGGAGACTGTGAGTAAAGAGGACCCCCGACCTGCTCGGCTAAGTGACGTTAGCGCAAGCACCGCTGGCTCTCAGCGCAGCAACCCGACCGTACGACTGCCGAAACTTATGATTGAGAAATTCAACGGAGACGTAAGTTTATGGCAGGAGTTTTGGAGTCAGTATGAGACCGCTATTCACAACAATGAGGCTCTCTGCAGTAAAGAAAAGTTTACCTACCTGAAAACTTACCTCACTGGAACGGCTGCAAAGGCAGTAGCAGGGCTCACACTGACAGACAGTAACTATAATGCTGCAGTTGATATACTTCAAAGCAGATTCGGAAGGAAGGATCTTATTGTAAATGCCCACATGTCAAAGCTTTTGAATCTCACTCCTGTAAAGAAGTCATCCGATGTCAGTGCGCTGAGGCAGTTATATGATGACTGTGAAATTCAAATCAGAAGCCTAGAGTCACTGGGAGTAGTATCAGACACGTATGGAGGCATGTTATGTCCAATAATCCTCCAAATGCTGCCAGAGGACATGGCTCTTGAATACAGCCGACAGAGAGGAGAACAGGATGAGTGGAAGGTGCCAGATGTGCTAAAGTTTCTGCAGAGAGAGGTAAACAGCCGAGAGAGAGCTTTACAAATGACCAGATCATACAACCAGAGAGAGAATCAGTCTGCTCACAAAACATGCAGCAAATCATATTCAACCTGTGATGTGAAACTAAGGAAACCAAGCATGACATCTGCAGCTACACTACACGCTGCCAATGAGAAGACACAAAACTGCCTGTTCTGTGAGCGTGCTGAACACAAATCTGAAAGCTGCCCAGACCACCAGGTGGCAGCACGTAAAGAAAGGCTGAAGAAACTTGGCAGGTGTTTTATCTGTTTGGGACCCAAACACATTGCAAGGTTCTGCAGGTTAAAGGGCATGTCATGTGCCACATGTGGAGGCAGGCATCATGTGGCCATCTGTGAGAAAAATGAGGCTTCCACGCCTGTTGTTTCTGCCAACATGGACACTGTCATTTCCTCTGTAATTCCCCAAACAAAAAGGGGCAAAACTGAAACTGAGAACACTGTGCTGCTACAAACCGCCAAGGCATGGGTGGTAGGTCCCACAAGCAGGAAGATTGTTCGCTGCTTGCTGGATGGAGGCAGCCAGGGAAGCTTTGTGCATGAAAATGTGGTGAGGGCGCTGCAGCTACCTATTACCAGACAAGGGACGCTTACCCTCCACACATTTGGCTCCTCTGCTCCCACAACGGTGAAGCGTAACATAGTGAAGCTCAGCTTGGAAAATGTTTGGGATGGACAGCAAAGAATTGAAATAGAAGCAGTTGTGACCCCCAATGTGTGTACAGCATTGATGAAAGTTCCTGGTGAACACATTCAGAACGAAATGAGAAGAAAAGGGCTTCAACTCGCAGACTTCGCTGGTGGAGGTGATGAAACTGAACTTTCTGTGCTAATTGGCTCAGATTACTACTGGCAGATCGTATCAGGCCGAGTAGAAAGACTGACAGAGAGCCTGGTGGCGCTTGAGAGCACCTTTGGATGGGCAGTACAGGGCCCAGTGGCCATGTCCAGCATAACAGAGACAACATGCATGCATATTCAGCTCAGCAAGGATGCACAGATGGACAAACAGCTGCATGCATTTTGGGAGCTTGAGTCCCTGGGTATCACAAGCGAGAAATCTGAGAATCCAGATGATGTGGAAGCATTGCAGCGGTTTGAAGAAACCTCCATCTTTAAGGATGGGCGTTATCAAGTGGAGTTGCCATGGCGACAGACTCATCCTCCACTTCAAGACAATTACCGCATTGCAAAAAGGCGTCTTGAGAGTTTGAAAAGGAAACTACAAAGGGATGTTACGCTCTACAGCAGATACAATGATGTGGTGGAGGACTACTTAACACAAGGAATGGCTGAAGATGTCCCTAAGGAGTGTACACCACCACCAAGCAGTCGGATTTACTACTTACCCCACCATGCTGTACTGAGGGAGGATAAGGTGACAACGAAATTGCGAGTTGTCTTTGATGCTTCATCCCACGAAGATGGCAGTCCCTCACTAAATGACTGTCTCTTAACAGGTCCCAATTTGAATCCAGATCTGATGAGTGTTTTGATCAAGTTTAGACTGCATGAAATTGCATACATGGCAGACATTAAGAAGGCATTTTTACAGATTTCACTCTCAGAAGTAGACAGGGACTCTGTAAGATTTCTGTGGTTCACAGGCCCACCAACGGAGGATAATCTGCGTGTCCTCAGGATGACAAGAGTGGTGTTTGGAGCTTCATCCAGCCCATTTTTACTGGCTGCCACCATTAGGAAGCACCTGAGACAATATGAGGGTAAACACCCAGAAGTGATAGACATTGTCCGTTCCTCACTTTATGTGGATGACTTTATCTCAAGTGCAAAGGAGGTGGCAGAAGCTCAGGCAGTGACAACAACAGTCAAAAATATTATGTCTGCGGCAGGCATGGAGCTGTGTAAATGGATGACGAACTCTCCTGAGCTTAGAGAAAAATGGCAGGAGATCTCGTTGGATTGCACTGCACAGCCAGAAACACACGGGTCGGTCCTGAAGGTTCTAGGCCTGGTGTGGAGACCTGCCACTGATGATTTTGTGTTCGACCTCAGAGGGCTGCTTGACATTCTGAAGGTGAGAGAAAACACTAAAAGAAGTGTTCTGCAGTCTTCCGCTCGCATTTTTGACCCTCTTGGATTCTTGACCCCTTTCACAATCAGGATAAAATGTTTATTCCAAGAGATGTGGGAGAGGGGACTCAGATGGGATGAGGAGCTGCCGCCCGATTTGACTAAGAAGTGGCAACAGTGGTGTTCGGAGCTCCCCCAACTGCACCAGCTGTCAATCCCACGTTGGTATAGAACACACACACAACAGCCAAATGGTCAGGATCTAAAGCTGCATGTGTTTTGTGATGCAAGTGAAAGGGCTTACAGTGCAGTTGCTTATCTTCAGGGAGAAACGAGTGACGGAAAAGTGACCACAAGCCTCGTTGCATCCAAGTCCAGAGTGGCTCCACTGAAAAGAATGACGTTGCCACGGCTGGAGCTGATGGGAGCTGTAATAGCAGCCAGGCTGGGGAGCACCCTCAAGGAAACACTGCGGCTTGACAAGGCCCAGGTGAGACTATGGACAGACTCAATGATAGTGCTACACTGGATTCGCAGTTCTGCTCACAAGTGGAAACAGTTTGTAGCAAATCGAGTGACAGAAATTCAGACTCTAACAGATCCACAGTCATGGTCTCACTGTAAGGGAAAAACAAATCCAGCTGACCTTCCCACTAGAGGTCTAACAGTACAGGACTTGAAGCAGAGCACACTGTGGTGGAATGGTCCTTGTGCTTTGATATCACCTGATCAGTTAGAGAGCAGTCAGGAAGACATTCAGGAAGATGAGGTAAAGTCTGAGCTGAGATCCAAATATCAGCTTGTTGTACAGCTTGTTAATCAAGACACAAACTTCTTAAAACCTCCTTTGTGTCTAGAGAAGTACAGTAGACTGAAAACCGTGCTCCGAGTGACGGCTTGGATGAAAAGGTTTATCGCTAACGCCCGCTCAACTACAAAAATGAGTGGTGAACTGACAGCAGAAGAGCTGCATGAAGCAGGAAAATATTGGATAAAGGTTATTCAGAACCAGAGTTTCAGCTCCGAAATTCAATCGCTCAAAACAGGAAAATGCACACATGCAGACTCCAGAATCCGACAGCTGAAACCCTTTCTGGACCAAGATGAGCTGCTCAGTGTAGGAGGAAGGCTCCAGCATTCCGACTTCTCTTACAGAGAAAAACACCCATGGATTTTGCCCAGCAATCATAGATATACCGAAATGCTGGTACATTATCAACATGAGAAGGTAATGCATGCAGGGGTGCGAGACACTTTAGTGCAAACGAGAGAACAGTTTTGGATTTTGAGAGCACGGCAAGTAGTTAAGAAGGTGGTGTCAAGATGTGTATTTTGCAAAAGGTTCAAAGCAAAGGCTGGGCAACAGACAACAGCACCGCTGCCCAAGGACAGAATAACTGAGTCACCACCATTTGAGATCACAGGTGTGGACTTCGCAGGGCCACTCTATGTGAAGACACAGAACTCCATGACCAAGGCGTACATAGCGCTGTTCACTTGCGCTGTAACCAGAGCTGTGCATTTAGAACTGGTCTCAGACCTATCAACAGAGAACTTTCTGCTGGCACTGAAAAGGTTTGTCTCAAGAAGAGGATTATGCAAGGTGATCTATTCAGATAATGCCAAAACATTCAAGAGAGCTGATCAGGATCTGAAGGAACTCTGGAAAGGCATCAAAGATCCACAGCTACAAGAATTTTTCTCAGAGAAGGGCATCACCTGGCGGTTCATCGCTGAAAGAGCAGCCTGGTGGGGGGGATTCTGGGAAAGGCTTGTAAGGTCAGTCAAAGTAATTCTTAGGAAGGTGCTTGGCAGAGCTAAACTTGGCTTTGAAGAAGTGTGCACCATTCTAGCTGAAGCTGAAGCCATAATAAACTCGAGGCCACTCACTTACGTGCACAATGACGTGGATGAACCACAGCCGCTGACACCTTCTCACTTCTTGGTGGGTCAGAGACTGACTTGTTTACCCCCAAAGCCATTTCCAGCTGAAACAATCCATCCAACAGCAAATAAGGAGGAGATGACACGGAGGTGGCGCTACAGGCAGAGACTTATGACCAACTTCTGGAACAGATGGCGAAAAGAATATTTACTGGACTTGAAGTCAGCCCATCGCTGCGACTCCCAGCAGCCCTCTCTGCTGAAGGTGGGAGACGTTGTGCTAATCGGAGAGGATAATCTACCAAGACAGAGCTGGAAAATGGGGCGAATTCAAGAACTCTTCCCAGGACGTGATGGTCTTGTCAGGTCATGTGCTGTTCGAACATGTTCAGGCGCCCTTCTGCGGAGACCAGTTCAGTTGCTGTATTCTTTGGAAATTTAGATAAACTGTAGTTTATCGGGGGGGAGGATGTTGTGAATTTATTTGTTGAGGACTTATTATTTCATAACCTTTGAATGATAAGTTAATGAGTTAAAAATATAAGTTAACGTTAATGTTGATAACACAGTTCATGTTTGAAACCGTGGTTAAATTTGGGACTGCATTTATTTGTAGTTGTATTGAAGTGGACTCTATTACCCAGGATGCTCTAGGAGCAAAAAGAAAAAAAAAGAGTGTTGTTGAGCCGAGCTGACTGGCGCACGTTGTATGTTACTTTTTTCCTTCACCGTTCTTCACTAAAGTTAAACCAAATGAAACTGACCGTCTCGCTTCGTCATTTTTGGTTGTAAGTCACAACAAGTCAATGAGATCAACTGGTTTTCCTTAAAAAGAAAACTTTGAATCAGTTTGACTGGATGATCTGGTGAACTGTAAAGTGCCTTGAGATGACCTGTGTTGTGAATTGGCGCTCTATAAATAAACTAAATTTAATTTAATTTAACTGGAGAACATGAATTATTTGTTCCAGTTTAGGGTGAAGAGCTGGAAACTGGAACTTTCTTCCATACAGTTTATTCAAGTTTATTCAAAGCCACTGTAACTTGATTTATCTCTGAAACACTAGAAGTTCCTGCTTCAGCTCTGGCTGTCATTACTATATCATTTATGATTTAGTGCTATACTAATAAACAAGGTATTAAAACAACCATTAGTTCCTGCTGTCGGCATGATAGAATAACTAAAAAGTGGAGTAAAGAACATTGTGTCCTTCCCAATGTTTGGCACTTGTGGCAAAGGTGCGTAAAGTACATCCTTATAAATCCATCCATCACTCCAGTGGAACATTGGAACATTAAATCAGAGATAATTTTCCCTCATTACCAAGCTGCTCACTGTGCGCACTGATTGCATTAGCTCAGGTCTGGTTTGGCACAGATCAATTTTTTTTTTTTTTTTTTTTTTTTTGTAAGCAATTCCTAAATTATACAGCTTTTAACAGAAATCTGTCTTACTTGAAAAATATTATCTGTTCTTCTTACCTTACATGGTCTATTATCATGGAAGGTCAGAGAATAAACAATGCCCGGGTGAGTAACTTTTGTGCTCCTCCATTTAATTGTAATGGTCAACAAATTCTGCTTCATCCGACTGACATGTCCTAGGGTCCTTTTTTCCCACCTGTTTTACAGGAAATATTAAGGATGCAATAATTGTTGCATATGATGAAAAGGAAATTTTAATAATATTTTTAAACTGAATCATTGTATTTGTTTAAAAGCTACTCTAGAGACTTATTTCTTTATTTTTTTTTGCAAATCTTCAAGTATTACTAATGAAAGTGCAGCATATATTTATTTAACTAGTATACAGATGTATATGGAGGTGTATACTATAGAGTACACACACTAATACATCCAAGTATATATGTATACTATACATTCAAACTAGGCCTGAAACAATTGATCGGATTAATGTGGATTAATCAATTATTGAACAACTAATTTAGTAATCTATTAATCGTTAACTGGAGTATAATGACTCTAAAACATGCCTTTAGCTGACAGAGCGACCCACTTAGAGCAGTAATTATACCAAGATTGTGCAAAAAAATATATAAAGGTTTTGCATTTAAGATGAAAAAGAAACAATTCTGTCGATATGCTCTATCCAGAACTCCTCAAATGGAAAAGTTTCAGTTTTACCTTGTGAAACTTAAACTTGTTAATTTTGTAAAAAAGTCTTCTTTAAAGAATCTTTGGCTATTATTATTAATCGAAAAAATAATAAAAAGATTAATCGATTTGCTAAATATTATTAAGTTGCAGCCCTAATTCCAACAAAATCTAAAGCAAAATTCAGTCAGTCTCCTCTAAAATTACAGCCCAAGTTCACTATTTATCTTAAACTAACTTATTTGACCAGATTACTGGTCCAACCAACATCTCTGTGGTTAACTTGTGGGAAAGTTTGATTTTCAGTGCCAAGATGATACAAAAGTCCCCTTAGACTCTGCTTCAAGCCTGCTAGCACATGAGGCCATCTCATAACTATAACTGTAATCAGGGCTCAGTGTCCTAACAGACTACAGCTGCATCTGTCAAAGGATTGATGATCATACAAAGCTCTGAAACAAGACTCTTGATTTTGGTCTTCTCTATTCCTCATTATTAAAGCCTGTTTAAAGGTGGGGTCAAAGGTGAACTTCCGTCTTAAAAGAAGAAGCCAGAGTTAACAACAATCAAACAGGACTGCGTTCCGAAGTGCATGCGCTGAAAATGCAATTATAGGACTTATCGCCTGAAGGAGAACCTTAAACAGTGAAAATGAGATGGTCTATATCAAATTTAGAAACAACCTTAATCTCACCTCAACCACAGAAAGCCATAGAACCACTCACTCTTTGTAATAACACCAATGACAGCATTTCAAATCTGACCAGCAAACACAACACACAGCAATTTTGGTTCATTTTAAACAAAAAATCAATTTCTTACTTATTGCTTTTATTATTTAAAAACATAATAGTTCAATATGACCACAACCACAAGATGCGTCTAAAATGATACGCTGTTTTTTTTTTTTTTTTTTTTTACAAGATTCCTTATTTTTACATGTACTATATGAGGGCAGTTCTAAAAAAAACTTTTATGCATTACTAAACATTAAGACACTGAGCATATTGTGTGGAACATCACGCTTGGTCTAATCCACTGTTCCACTTATGAGGCCCCTGTGTTGTAAAGGGTGTCTGTATTAGGAATAGAGTACATAATGTAGTGTTTTAATGAATCATGGCTTTTATATCATTTTTTATGCTCCTTATTTTGAACATATTTCAGGATCAGCAAACCAGACATGGAAAGGTTAAAGATTCTCATTAAATGGTAACCTTGGCTAAAAAAGAAGCATGGTTTCTCTACATTTGTTCCTGCTAAACTGCACTTTTAGATGA